TTCCGTTGTGTCTACGGTCCTCCTTCTAACAGGAACTCAAACTGCCACCTTGAAAGTCCGGGCAATATTCAGCGTGCCCGAGAGCACTGCCCTCTACATCTTTCGCAGTACGTCTGTGCTTCTGCCTCCCACCAGCTCGCACATCATGACATCCAGCTCCCGTGACCTCCCCCCGAGGGCATCCATAATGATGTTATATTGCTTCACCTCGTAGCCTGGGAACCGCTGCCTTAGTTCCCAGCGAAAAGGTCCGTACTTCAGTGTCTTCTGTTCATCCTTTCTTGTCCGGTTGTTAACCCACGAGCAGCTCATTTCTAGCGTCACAACTCTCTCGCACATATGATTTACAAAGCGTGCATCCACCCTATTGCATCTGACCTATTATTATTATTATTATTATGACCTTATTATTATTATTATTATTGTTATATTTTTCTGATGAGGGTTTGGTAAGTCTCTTGTAAGGCTGAGGCCAAACCATGGCAAACTTGCCATGATCCTGAGGTACCACAGGGCTATGTTAGCTCTGTTTAATTGATTTAACCGCCTGTTTCATTGATTTAACCCCCTCCTTCGTCAGAATGTGAGATGCACTACGCATTAAAGCAATCTTTCGCAACAAAACCCATCCCCAGGCTTCCCCAGGCGTTTTCTATCGATTTATATGGAAAAACACTACTTTCTTGGCGCCAGTAATTCGATTCATGATAAGAGAGCCGTTAGTAAACGTAAGTTCTGTTTAATGGAAACACAAGACCATAACATTTTCAAGAAAGTATCTAACACTGTAAATCATCCTCTCTTGCCTTTTCTACCTACATTCAAATCTACCCATTATAAACTTAGATGGAAATCCTCTGTAAAACCTAAGATCGAAACAGTCTGCTCCATGAGTACCTATGTAGATACTAGTCTTTAAATATAATTTAGCATTACTGATGGGGGAGGGGGTGGGTTTCTACGTCTTTTCTACTTTGCACGCTTTAGATTTTAACTTGTAACATAGGAAATGTATTTTTATCCTACGAACGGATAAAGACATATTATTATTAATACTATTATTATTCGTCTATCCTTGTGCGATCTCCGAAAGCAAGATATAGTTAGATATTTAGAACCACCTTCAGAATATGAATCTTGACATAAGACACGATCACGATGTACTTTGATTGGAAGAAATAAAACCGCATTCTATTGGTTATTAGGTGTGAGGTCATGACTGCAATGGAAGACACAACCACAACGCTACAATACAAGTAGTCTTGTACCCAGACCTTCCACGGCCATTTCGGTTAGCATCCGGGTACGAGATTACGACACAACCTCTTTCTGGCGGGGGAGGGGAGGAAAGGGGGGAACCAGGTTTACCTAACTACCCCCTTCACTGTCTGTAATTAAAGTAACTGTCGTTTTCAGTAACCTAAGTGAGATGTGACTTATTATTAAATAACCTAACCTGGGCTTGATGGCATCACCGGCCTGACAATTATGCAAATATGCATAACATTCTGTCGACAAACTATGCATGGACACACTGTTTATGTTAGTCTTGGCTCGATTTTTGAAAGTCAGGATAAATGTCTACTCGCAGTTACTAGGTTCATTTATAATGAGGTGTTGTCTGTTCAGGCTTGTACAACCGCAACCGCAATCAAGTGCTTTGCATTGATGCTTTATTATACAGAATTGCATCGTATAAACTTTAAATACATGATACGATGGAATGGTACAGCCACGTGACTGTGGTTTAGCTGCTCTCGCCAGTTATTAAAGGATTATTTGACAACTAAGAAAATAAACATAGAATGAAAATAAACAAAGCACGAGATGAGTTTATGATTTTGCTCTTAAATACGATTGCCGGCATACACCTTAAAACCCTTGTATTAAGTTTCCTTCCCAACAAATGTTACCATACGGTAGGATTAACAAAGACAAACTCATCATATATGTCAAAAAGTGGCGCATAACAACAAACAAGAATTAAACAGAAGTATTCGTTGAAAATGATAAAACCATAATAATGTCACATATATACATTCTGCTAAAGGAAACTGCATTATCCTAAGCTTAATAGATGTCAGTAACAAGGATTAAAAAATATTATGCCCTTTTCCAGTTACTTTCGTTGAAGTTTTGAATGGAGTTTGTTCTTTCATCTAGACCAACCAATTTCTAAGCGATATATGAACTCCTAGAATCATCTTTGTTCTTGCTATCGGCAGTTTAGAAACAGTGGTCAGTACAATCATAAATGATCTTGTTTTCCATTGCATGAGGGGACCATCTCGCCATTTGTTTTAAGTTTAATTTTGCACCGAAGCGGTTGAGGCAGTGCCGCTTATGCCTGAAGATCGAATCACGTCGCATATCACGTTTCTGCCAATTATGTAAACCGCTGTACAGGGCTTTGAAGACCGTTAAATGAAATCAATGAATAGCTTCGTTATGTGAAGATAATAATAAATAAATAAATAAATAAATAATGCGACAGGAGACTGGGACGGGAAGGGTAGATAAGAGAAGTGAATGTTGTCGTGGTCTGGACCTGACCTAGTCCCTTCGTGAGGGATTCAATAAACAACAACAACAACAAAGAAAAAAAAGAGTAGCCCTGTCAAAACTGATCTACTTTACTTTCATTTCTGTACGTTTTAGTGAATAGTAATATCCTCTAAAAGGAATCCAGTTGACGCCATCAGCCATGGACGAGTGAGATCCGTTGAGATACAACCCGTTCAGATTGGAATCATGACAATAACTGTACCACCAGGCGCCTTTGAACTGCTCAGCGCAGCTGCCGTCCGGTTTTACGTCGTTGTCACTATCTCTTGTGGAGAACTGCATATCACTGCAAAAAGTAACATCACAAAAGATGGAATGTAGATGTTTTGATTAAAAAAAATAAATATTGTAAAAGAACTTGAGCTTATGGTGCACTAGTTCAACATCTTAATCAGCCAAAATTGAAATGACAGATACAAAAAAGGAAAAATAAACGAAAACCGAATAGGATAAGGGGTCCATCTCTTTGCTCACACAAGTCTCGAAACGAATAGATAAAGCATTTTTCTTCCAAATTGTCGCACATTTATTTTTACTCTCATTACCTTTTCTCTAAACAACTGTTTATTTTACCTTTGTTTTTTCAAACCGTCCCCAGCTGTCCCGTTGTATCCATGAATTACAATTCGGTATTTATCTACCTGGTCCGCCACCATAAATGTCGTGTACTCAGCGTATCTGATGTCACCTTCGAAATCCTCCAGGTCAACTCTTAACGAAACGTTACCAGCGGCTGTCAAACGATGAAGATTGTCATTTCCAAGCCAAAACTCGCCGTTCAAATCTCCAAAGCCGTTTTTGTAGGACGACCAATCTCGATAGAAATCAACAGAGCCGTTCAAACGTCTCTGAAAAACGGTCCAACCTCCACCGTACGTAGTCATGTCGCAAAACACTTGTATGGGATTTCCGCCATCTGGATTGATAGTGTAAACACCATTAGAGGTGACACCATCTTGATAAAGTAGAGCACAACTTTTGGCCATGGGTTCTGTTGATTGACGAAAAATTTTGACTTTGAGTTAAAGTAATTCATATTTACTTATTCATTTGGGAAAAATGCTTCAACGACAATAATAGTAAAGAAAGAGGAAAGAGAGGAAGGTAGGTGGATCAGCACCTATATATATGTGAATATTCGAGCAGTGAAAGTACTGTTGTGCTGGTTGTATTTGCTCGTTGAAGATTCTTAGAAAAGGTGAAACCAATTTTTCGTTTTAAAATTGTTGATTTAGTATTGTATCTCCATGGTAACTGTTCTCGTAGTAGTGAGTAATGTACATGTAGGTGAAAACTGTAAAGGATAGAAATCCTGGTTTTTAAGATTTGAAGCAGTGATCGGTCTTACTGCTTGTTGTCGATATTCCTAACTACAATCATTATATTATTACTATTAATGTTATCATTATTATTATTATCATTATTGCCATAATTATCATTGCTATTATTTTAATTGTTATCAATGTAATTATCATTGTAATAATTTTTTTAACTTACTACAGGGCTTTCCTACGTAACCATCTTTACAGCTGCATCGTGTACTGTTGGTTCGAATGTCCAGGATGCAGAATTCGTTCTTGCCACAAACTGACTTATCTCGTTCGCATAAGCTCTGTTTATGAACAATAATAATGATCATAATAATGACGATGATAATAATAATAAAATAATGACAGTAGCTATCAGTAATGATAATAAAATGCTAACACTGCTTCTATTAATAATGATAATAAAAACAATAGTCAGAGTGACAAAATTTATATGATAATATATTAATGATGTTGACGATGACGATGCTGCCATATTCATTATCAACAATCCTTTACCGAAGTGGAATTGTTGCGTACCCAGAGTGCAGCGGACGCAGGGCGTGGTATAATGGGGTTCGGGGAAGTGTCAATCACATTGCAAAAAATAGACAACACAAATTGATTCAACAGCATTTAATCTGATCATCGACTCGTTTGAATATTGCGCATGTACGGTGAAAACCAAAATGGGAAAAATTACAATGTACAAGGGAATGATAATGGAAAGCGGTAGGACTAGTTACAGAAGAAAAGCAAACGAAAGGAAAAAGAAACGGAATACAACAGAGTGCAACTTACATCTGATCTTGTCTTAAAGGCGGAAAGAAACCCCAACCTTGCGTAACTCGAACAGACAAAAATTTAGTAAAACATTCCGATCTGACCCCTTCAATTCCGAAATACTACAAATACTACAAATCCAATTCCGAATTACTAAGGGGGGTGTTATGAAAGACAGACTGCGTTTGGCCTCGTTTCTAAAGGCTTTAATCTACAAAAGCCTCGTGCTACATAAGGGAAAAATTAACGCCCGGGCGGAGTGTGCGGGTCTTCAGCGGACATGCCTTTAATGCTATGAAATCATTTAAGTGTCATCAATTGTCCCCACGCTATTATGGGCGCGACTGGGCAACCGGAAAGGACTAAAACAAGGAGGACAATTCACGGATTCGGATATAAATCAAACAGAAATCTCGTCACTTACATATGTATCTTCAATCAAATCTGTGCAATTCACAATTTCGGACATCAACTAAACAGGAATCTCGTTACTCATCTTTAATAAAATTTGTAATTATTACCGGCAATATTGAAGACAGGACTGTTATCGTGCCTAGCTCCTCAGTTGATCGGAAGTCACGCAACAAAATAACGCAAATTTTGGTAAAATAAAAAATTCGTAGAAATTTTAATGAAAAAGTAAAATTAGAAAGTAACAAAATAAAATGAAATTAAAATTGAAACGGTAATAAGGTGAGATGATAATACAATATAAGATACATAAATTCATACTTTCTTATTCTACCTCTAATTACTAGTACCTAGTTCTTACTAACCGAGCAGGAGGTCTGTATTTTTCATTTATGGTTAATATAGGGAAGTGTTGTCTATCCCTTCTGGTTCACCCAGGCTGAAGTCCTGGCATTCAGAGTAATGCCTGAGCGCTTCTAGGATATATAACATACTTAGTTTTTCATTCATGGTTAATATAGGGAAGTGTTGTCTATCGATCCTTTCTGGTTCACCCAGGCTGAAGTCCTGGCATTCAGTGTAATGCCTAAGTGCTTCTGGGATGTATAACATACTTAGCTTTTCATTCATGGTTAATCTTGGGAAGTGTTGTCTATCCTTTCTGGGAGTTACCTAGGCTAAAGTCTTGGGCCCAGTTGTTCAAAAGACAGGTTAAACTAACCTCTGGTTAGGCCTAACCGGAGGTTAAGTTTCCTAACCGTGAGTTTGTTAACGCGCTGTTAAAATTGCGTTGATCGGAGCGCGGTTAGAGGACAGGTTAAGCGCGTTTAACCCGGGGTTAGCGTCCCATAATAAACTATTAGTACAATGTTGCCATGGTGAGCAAGTTGCGAGCTCTGCAAAAGGGCTTCCTCAGCTATCTCACGCAAAGCTCGAAAACAAAATTTTGGCGCTTCAGAAATTGCCGTTTTGACAGAAAAAGTCGAAGAAAACCTTTCGCTCAAAGCAAATTTACCAACAGCGTCACCAATCAGAAAAAAATGAAATGTGGAAACAAATCGCCGATGCTGTAAACACCGCTGATGCGGCAATGCGGACAACAGCCGAAGTTCGCCTATAACTTGTAGGAAACTTCCACTGGCGTAAAATCTGAGAGCAATTAAAACTTAATTGATGGAGCAGCGGTAAGGCGTGATTCCGTCGAGTGTTGCGACTGATGTCACCGGCAACAAGATTGGTAATAAATAAAATAGACTCTCGTCGAAAGCGGTAACGAGCACGCAGCTCTTCGTCTGTGAAATCGTCGATTTCACACTGAATTCCGGCTCTAAATCTCCTTTCTCGTCGTCGCCTTCGGCGTAAATCGCAAAACAACAAGTCCGCCATTTGAAATTTTATTCCTGATTTAACCGGAGGCTAACAAGTTAACCCTGCTCGCACGGTGGGTTAAATTTAACCCATCGTTTAACCCGAGG